TTGAGCGCGGTCGTAGGAGCCATGAGGCAGTGGCTAAGCCAGATGCCCAGTGAGTCGGACCGTAACACGACCACCGGCGAGTCCAGGCGCGGTGCCCCAGTGAGTCGGGTGTGAGAGCGCCAGAGGGCCGAGGCAGTCGTGCCTGGCGCAGCCTGCCGATGTCTCCAAAGACCGAGCGCTGGCGACGAAGCCTTCTGGCTGAAGTTGCTTGCTGTGTGGCTTGATAGTAGACTTCAGTCGGACTGAATTGAACTGAATAACTCGGCTTTGGAGTCGCTCCTTTTTATACGCTGGTCGGTGGGGCGGAGCCAAACTCGAAAGTGAGGAGGAAGAATTGATTGGCTAGCGCGCGTAATGACGTAGATGCGGGCCAGGAGCGATCCCAGTATAAATATGAACCTTTGAAGCAATCAGATTGGTTAGCGCGCGTGATGGTGAGAAGTGATGTGAAGAGCGAGCGTTGCAGAAATGCGTGATAATGTGGGATGTTCCCACATATTCGTCTTCACCAGTTCAGTACTGGGCAGAACAATATGGCACAAATAATAACATATCTTAAAGAAATATAATGAATACTGAAAATCTGGTATCTGTTCACATTCCAATTCAGTAATGGAAAGGTTTACATGGCAAAAGTAACACATCTTACAAAAGAATGTAATGAATACTGACAATCTGGTATATATTTATCTTCCAGTTCAGTATTGAATATGATTATATAGCAAAAATGAATAATATATGTTAAAGAAATGCAATTACTATTGAAAATCTTATGTTCATGTTCACCAGTCCAGTACAGGTAGCATTATATGGCAAAAGCAAGAGAAGGAATACACCTATAACAACAGAAGTGAATAACAATGTAATGAAAATGAAATAGGTAAAGAAATTACATAAATAGTCCTACCCACATTCAATCCTGATACTGATTCTGCTTCTCAGAGTTTCACACTGAGGTGGATAACCTGAACTTTGCAAGTCAGTTATAAAGTAATGCCTCTTCATTCTTACCTACACATAAACAAGACCCATGTGTGTCAGAAAACAATTTCCCATACAATTCTCGGTTGAAATATAATTTGCTGAAGATAAAGGCCAGAATGAACTCTGACCAAGTGAAGTTCTAATATTCTGAGACGAAGGAAACATGTTTGCAAAGAGGGGAATAGATGGAGCTCAAGTTCAAAATAAGTTTCGTGTATGTAATCGAACTGTGGTTGACCATGTTATCATTCACTGCAACATGTTTGAAAAGTGGGAAAGAGATGGAGTTCAAGTTCAAAGTAGGTTTCTTGTGTGTAATTGAACTGTGGATGACGATGTTATCATTCGCTGCACAGTAGTTTCTGTTGCTGCACTGCAACTGCTTGTCACCAGGGATACTTTCTCCAACTTACGAAACATTTAATGATGCTCATGTGACTAGTTGGCACACATATTCTTCCAGTAATTTCATAACTACTCTCTGTCAATTTCCAGGGCTGGTATGGGCAGGACATTACAAGGCAAAAATGAAGAAGCATTACTTTCATAATGACTTACCGATGAGACAGTATCTTCATCTTCCTCTCTGTGGCCCTCTGCCTGGCTGCTTCAGTCATCAACCTGTTTCTTCGCTTACACCACCAAGGAATGTAAATTCATGTGAGACATCTCACAATACTATCTACTATTCGTTGGTGGTGAAGCGAACAGCCAGAACACCTAATCCACTCGAAGTCAATGGTGCTCTTGATGGCAGCTGTGATATGCTGCTCCACTGAATTCAAGTGGGCAGCCTCTGTCATTATAGACTCCATCAGAGTTACAGCAGTACCAACAGTCTCCACCAGCTTCTCAGAAGGATATGTGAGAGACTGTTCTGTATCACTGCACTCCTTGAAATATATGAAGACATTGGCTGATAGCAGCACTTCAGATGTCAGGCATGTCTTGCATGCATCACAGCTGACACCACGAAGCACCTGTCTGGCAATGGAACCACTGACATAAGCTACTGAGAGCACTTCCATGTCACCAGCAGGTACTGCAGGACTCATGTCCATCTGTACTTGCTGAGCAACATGGAAACTCTCAGGCACACCAGCAGGGGTTTCCTTGTCATGACTTGTGGAAGGATTTCGTGAAGCAGCTTCAGGTGCCCTGAAAAGCGATTGTAGATTATCCAGAAGAGTAGCACCATCATCCTCACAATTAGTTTCCCCCAGTCCTCTAAATGCAAGGCCACTGATGATGCTAGTCTTCAGGGCATTTACAAACTGTCCCACAGTTGGGTTATTGTTCGAACCACAGTTCAAACGAATAGCTCCAAATGTGTTCTCCAGGGGATCCTGATTCAGGTTTTGGGTGTGAAGGTACTCAAAACCCACCTCTTTCAGTGTCCTCCACACATGCTGGGCAGCAGTGATGTCAATCAGCCACCCATTCTGTGAAGGAGGAGGATGAAGAAAGGCAGGTTTGCCATCCTTGAGGAAGATCCAACTCTTTATCCCCATACTTGCCTTTTTCCAAAGCTCTATATGGGGCCTGTTGTCACTGAGTGGGCAACGCAGTGTTTTCCCTTGGCCAACACTTGTTCCACCATTGAAACTATCAAAGAGGTTGTCAACCTCCTCAACAAACACAGCTGTTGCCATGTATTCGCTGCTGCACCCACCTGAATGGGGGGGGGGACAGAAGTTAGTGTGCCTCCTTACGTGGTGAATTACAGTTTCTTTACATTGGAAAATAACACATTACTTTACAAAGGCCTAACGTTATACAAAACTTGTACATTTCATTACATTATTCCTCATATTAAAATCTTTGCCACCTAATTCACCTTAATTATATCACTGATAGTGTCATCTGCTTTTCAAATATTTCTTAATTATCCTAAAAACAGTATTTGTGACATATTCTACATAACTTGTATATTGATATACAGTTTCAGAAGTCAATTCAAGTCAGATGAAAATGACGTTTGTTTGATTACAACTGGGTTCTGGGGCAGTAACTTTGAAAAGTAGACCTCATTATTAGTCACTTCATTCGTAAAAGAAATATGTAGTGCTTACCTGTAGCCATGAGGCTTGCTGCAACAGTATGGCTCATGACCTGTGCAGCCAAGCGCACATTCATTGAGCTCTGTGCTGTGGGGTTCAGGTGAGTGTCTGTCAGCCTACACAACAGGCGAAACGGTCTGGTTGTCGATTTCATACAGTTTCAATATGTGGTCCCACATAGCAATAACAGGAAGTTGGGTGCCCACATGTTCAGACTTCAACTGCACATCATGTTTCAGGAAAAGGTTTCGGGTGCACTTCAGAAGGTGGGGGGATCATACACTGTTGCAATTTCTTGATTGCGAAATCTGAAGAGTGGTTTCCTTCTGGAAGCACCCAACAGTTTCAAGGCCTTGACATTGTTGGCACCCATGTCACA